CAGAGAGGTTAGGAAACCTGTCCAAGGTCACACCGTTCGTAAGAAGCAGAGTGAGGACGCACACCAGGTGACCTGGCTCCCAAGCGCCCCCCCTCACCCACACCCCTCTCCTGTCTGCAAAGCAGGGCAGTTCTCTGGAGAGGGCCTAGCAGCCTGCCTCATCCTCAGCCTTGGAGCCTTCTGGGCCTCCTTGCCTTCTGGAAGCTGCTTGACCACACCATTCAGATTCCAACAGAGAGGTCATCCCGATGACTCCTCGGCTCCAGAAGGGGTTTGGTGGCCGATCCTCCAAGGTTCATGGTGGTGGGTACTGTGCTTGGTGATGTTTGACCTGGCGCCGTCCTGGCCTTCTTCATGGATCCTTGCCCTCCGCATCCTGTCCACTCCTGGAACTTTCCCAGGCCCCGGCTCCTGAGACCTCCCGCTCCTTCTGCTGGGTCTCTGTTGCTGTGCCCTGCCCTTGGCTTCCAGCCCGTCATCAGTCCCGGGGCTCACCCTGGAACCTCCCTTGATCTGCCGTTGCTCACCTTCCCCCTCTCTGAGCGCCAGGTGTCGAGCCCGAGGCCGTCTTCCCCACGTGCCCACCCGGTTCCGTTCCTGATGCCTGCCCAAGCCGGCTGCTTGCCTGGAGAGGAACAGACCTTCTCACAGAGGCCCGGGGCAGCCTCCCTTCAACCTTTGTTTCTATGGACAGAAAGCCCATGCTGTAGAGAATAAGTTTCCCTTGGCCTGTCTTTGCCATTCTGGGTGAAGATACTGATTGGTGGGCACTTTCTAATAAGAACAGCCCTTGACAAGTTTGACCAAAACAAGACTGTTATTTATTTATAGACACTCTCATTTTAAAAAGACTTAAAGTACCTTACAGCTTTACACACAGTAAACAAGGGGAAAACACGAGGGGAAAAAGACTTAGTAAGCCACCTCTGCCTTTTCTTCTTTTGACTGAAATGACCCTTCCTGTGACTCTCTCCCAGGAGGGCCTGCTTTCTGGACTTGGAATGTTTGGTGGCTTTTCTTCTGCTTATGCAGTGCGGTGCCCTGAGTGTGTACCCACAAATCCCTGAGGAAGTCAGAGTCGAGAGATACAGATGTCAGACCTTTTCTTCACGTTCTTTCTCTTGGATCCGTCTGACCCTGTTTCCTTCAAGCTGGGCTTTCGGGGAGCTGCATCAAATTACCATAATCTTAGACTCAGAGGCAGTTTAGGATCCACTGTGACCTTCTGAATCCTTTCAGACTTATTCACGCCTTGCTAGTCAGTCCCGTCTTAGATTTGGGCATCACCTAGCTCTTCCTCATTGACTAGCTTCCAGCTTCCTCCTGGTCAGCATCCCGAATTGTCAGAGTCTATTTGGAACCCAGGCCTGTCTTTGGAGGCACAGCCTGTTGCCCGATGCTGGGGATCGGCCATTGTGGAGCTCGCTCTTGATTTACACTTCCCAGTTACTTATGGAGACATGGTGAGTGTTTATCGGCCTCCAGACCTCCTAGGCCCTACAGGGGAAAAAACTCTGGGTTCTTCTCCTAAAGCTTTTGTGCGTAGTTCTCCTTCTCCTGCTAAATTGTTTCCGTATGGAACAGCCAGTCTGGGAGATGATTTCACCTCTTGTCATCTTTCCTAAGTCTTCCTTGAAGTGGGCAAGTCCCTCCTGGCCGCTGCCACCAGTGCCATCACCCTCCGTTTTTTTATAGATCCCTAAATCACATCAAATTGTTTTATTTTTCAAATTACTAGAGTTGCCTCTCGCCTTCAGATTGTCAGCCAACTCTTTGCACATAAGGAGGATCCAATTAGGAAAGGCAGCTGCTTGGCCCCTCCATCTTCTGCTGGCACCCCAAGGGTTATTAGGATGACTTCTCCTGGGTAAATGTCAGCTGTTACGGTTGTCTCCTTGGGATGACAGGGCTCAGGGCTTTGCGGTTTGCATCTGAGCAGTTAGGCTCCCCTGCGGGGAGAGGGATGAGAGAAGGACTTCTGCGTCCACAAAGGAGAGCCTGGTGCCTGGTCCCCTGGGCGGGGCTTGTCATTGGGATGGATTCACAGGGGAGCAGGAATGGCAAGAATGTATGGGGCCACTGCTCCCAGGGCTTGCTGTTCCCCACCCTCTCCCCCGGGCTTCCACAGTAGCAGAAAATTCATTATATTTTGGGATCATTTGTTATTGTCTCATGTATACCCTCTGAATGAAGATAAACAGAAGCTGCAGCAAAGCCCATCATTCCTGGAATGGAGTGGGGTCTGGCTTCCATCTCCCGGAGACGGCTCGGGCTTGGAAACACACAGAAGCCTCTAGAGCATTTTTCTTGGGGTCTGCTGTGGGAAGGAGTAATCTAGAGGGGAAATGACAGCTCGGTAATGAGCATCTGAGCTCCCAGAGACAGTCTTGCCCGCTGCTGAAGTCTGCCGTGAGTTAGTGTCCTTGGGTTGGTTTGTTCACTGATTTCTTACTTCAGCAAGTACTGACTGGCCACCCTTTCTGTGCCAGAACTGACGCTAAGCACGGGGGTCAACCGGGCCACAGCCAGCCATGGCTGGTGCTTGTTCCTGAGTCGCCCTCTGCTTGCCACGTGGCCACATAGTTAGGCCCAAGCATGGTGTTGCCTCCAGAAGGGGTCCTCATGCCAGCGCCTTCCCTGTTCTCCCCAAGGAGGGCGAGGGAGGCATGTGGCTCATCGCAGAGCTCTGGGGCAGTCTCCTCCCTATCCAGCCCCCCCACCCCCCGCCATTGCAGGCTCCCTGCAGAGGGTGAAGGGGGCTCTCCTGCCCCTGGACTCCAGTCCCACTCAGAGTTTGAGGATCACAGCACATGGGATACTCCCATGTGAGAGGTCTTGGGCTGCCATGGGGTCATGCAGGGAACTCCCTGAACCTGGCTCTCCGTGAGAGGTGGCGGGTCCTCTGAGCGAGAGAAGGATCCCCTGTAGACTAGTGTCTGAAAACCCACCATGAGAAGGTCATTCCTTCTGCCAATGGCGTTGGTGCGTCTCAAACCCCAGGAGGCAGACAAAAAGCCCAGAGTGAGTAAGTTTTGGAAAATGCACAGAAAATCCTGGGCCCAGGAGTCTAGCTAGCCCCGACTCTGTCCCTCTCTAGCTGTGTGACCTTGGGCAGCTCATTTAACCTCTCTGAGCTTCAGTTTCCTCATGTCAAAAGGAGGTTGTGGTGTAGATGATGAGCACAAAGCCTCTCCCAGCTCTCAGACTATTACTTGATGTGATCAAGGCTCAGATCCCTCTCTGAAATGGCCCAGGGGACACTGGATGCTAAGGTGGGAAGAAAGGGAGTGGGGTGGAAAGAAGAGGCTCTGATGTGGGAGGTGTGGCAGGTGGAGCACAGGGACACCAGATGCAGATGGTGCGAGGCGGGGCTCTGGGCAGGCGGCTTTGTGGATGGGCTGTGGGCGCTGAGGAAGGCATGGCGGGGCCTCGGTCCATTCCTGCCACCTTGCTTTAGCAAAGTGATGTCCCATGGAAGCCTTTGTGGCTTGAGGGTGCAAATCACTCACATGCTTGCCACTTCAGAGTTCAGAATCTATTGAGAAACCGATGCCAGGTTGGGTAGAGAGCCAAATTTCACCTTCAAAAGTGAGATGGAGATGGAGAAGGTGGCTTATGTTTGTGGCCAGAATGGGTTCACGAGTGCCCCTCTCTCGAATGATCTAGACCTGAGAGCCCGATGGTGGGGGGGGGGGGTGGCTGTGAGTCACCCTCCAGAGCCACTCCTGTAGGGGGCAGATAGCCCAAGACAGTGTGGCCATTGGAGTTCCTTCACTCTACCCACTAGGGAAGCCCCGGCCGATGGGCATCCCCGCTCCCCATCTTGCCAGATCCTCTTCTCTTCCTGGAGGAGACAGGGACAGAGGGAGAGAGAGGCTGAGACATTCAAGATCCCTAAGCCAGTGGGGATTTGGATTTTACGGCCCCGGGCAGAAAGGTGCTAAATGATTCCCTTTACAGGACTGGAATCCAGAAGCGGTTTTGTGCTAAAATCCTACTTACAAGGCAGCTTAGAAGCTAAGACTGTGCACATCTGACCCCCATATACCTAGGGCCTGCCAGCTCATAATAGGTGTTCAGTAATCGGGTGGATGCATGGGCAGGAGCCCTTTAAGGGCCCTGATGGCTTCATTAGCAGACAAGCTTTCTCCCTGGCCATCTGTGCCTTGAGATGACCACTTCTTACCCATGAACTTTCCCCAGTAAAGGGAAGGAGAAATAAGAATTCCCTTTGTGTTGATCTGTCAAATTTGTGCCCATTTTTCATGCCTGCCTCTGATTCCTGTATATGCCTTCTGTATCTGGCACAGTTAGAATATTCGTTTGCTCTGAGAATGAAGATACTGTGGAGGAATTTTCTGGTCCTGGGGTCCACTGGGAAAGCACATGCTGATTAATTCCACCTCCTTTGCCTCAGTCTCTTCCTCACAAATAGCAGACACACACACACACACACACACACACTCACCTTCAGCTTAGATTTCCTTCTCTCCTATGCAGGGCGTCTTAAGTATGCAGAATAGGATGTGTGATTGGTGGGGAGGCACCATGCCAGACCAAAAATAGCTTCCTCTGAAGCAGGTGCAAAGGGGCCCAAGATTCCACTGTTATAATTCATTCTCTTCAGAGGCTGCAAGTTGCTGCTTAACCCTCAGTACTGCCAGTTAGCTAGGTACAACCTTGGGCAAGTTATCTTTCCGAGCCATGGCTTCTTCCTCTGTGTAGTGCCCTCTGGTCCAGTCTGAGGGGCCAGTAGAAGGATAACTGTGGTCCCTGGCACACAGCAGATGCCGGATCAGTGTTGCCTATGGCTGGGTTAAGGGTTGCCTTCAAAACACAAAAGGCAGGCCCTCCTGGGCAGTGCCAAGGATGACCTTGGTGTGACTCAATTGATCTGGTGCTCCTGTATAACAGGAAGGGCTTCAGGGCAGGAGGAGCAACTGGGTGGGGAAGGGATTCAAGGGGGCTTGGTAAATCCCTTCAGGGCCCCTCGCGGCTGACTGCCTGTCCTCTTCTTACCCCCAGGCTGGCTGGCCATTCCTCCTGCTATGATGCCTGGGCAGATCCCAGACCCTGCTGTGACTGCGGGCTCTCTGCCAGGGCTCGGCCCCCTGACTGGACTGCCCAGTTCGGCTTTGACCACGGAGGAGCTGAAGTACGCTGACATCCGCAACCTCGGGGCCATGATCGCGCCCCTGCACTTCCTGGAGGTGAAACTGGGCAAGAGGCCCCAGCCTGTGAAAAGTGAGGTGAGCGAGCGAGCCCGGATTTCCCAGGCAGAGTCCTGGGGCTAGAGTCCTGGGTCTGGCCCAAACCCGCTGGCATATCTTAGTCCTGCATTTCCGAGAGTGGTCCAGGACTGGTGGCATGATGCCATCCCGTGGCTTGGTCAGAAATGCAGAATCTCAGGTCCCATCCTAGACCTTCCGAGTCAGAATCTGTGTTGTAACAAGATCCCCAGGGATTCATGGACATATTCGCTTGAAAAGCACTGGCTGGGGCAGGCTGCTCAACCCACCTTCAGTTCCTCAAGGGGCAGGGGAGAGTGGTAATAACAACAACAGTGAATGATGCTCTCTTGGCAACCTCTCTGGGTGGTGGAGACCATGGAACTGTGCACACATTTTGAAAAGCACTCGAGGGAATGCCGATATTAGGTTATCTTTAAAAAGTTGTTATCGTGGCCAGGCGCGGTGGCTCATGCCTGGAATCTCAGCACTTTGGAAGGCTGAGGCGAGAGGATTGCCTGAGCCCAGGGGTTCAGCCATTCAGGAGCCTGGGCAACTCGGTGAGACCTTGTGTCTATAATAAATCAAGAAAAATTAGCCAGGCACAGTGGCATACTCCTGTAGTTCTAGCTACTTGCAAGGCTGAGGCAGAAGGATCACCTGAGCCCAGCAGGTTGAGGCTGCAGGAGCAGTGAGTGTGCCAATGCACACCAACTTGGGCGACAGTGAGGTTCCGACTCAAAGAAAAAAATTGTTATCATTAGTCACATCATGGCCTCTGCTCCTCTTGGCCCCTTTTCTGCAGCTGAAGCAGGGAACTTGGAAGGAGAGTGGCGTGATCTCCCTTCCCAAGTGGCTGCCAGACACAGCCAGCAGTGTCCTCTTGGGTGGTGTTTTCAGAGGACCCACAGAGGAGGCATCCCCTCCTCGGGTCCCTCATACCTGCAGTTCTCACGAGCCCTTTTCTTGGGGTGCTGGGAGCAGTGAAGTCCCCAGCATGGGCTAGGGTCAGTGCAGGGCGTGCCCCCAGCTGCTTGGAAGGCCTGCCCCGGTGAGACCCAGCAGGGCCGTTTCTCCTGAGGCCTGCCAGAGCGGCTGCCACTTGGAAGGCGGGTGGAGAAGGGGTGGAGTGGGGGCTGGGATGGGAGGGGGCATGGAAGCATCTGGACATTAGGAGCAGGCTCTGTCTGCAGAGAACATTCCCAGACAAAGGTGTGGGAGCTGGGAGGCTGGAAGTGCTGGAGGGGCTCCTGAATGGAGAAAGGTGTCTGGTGCTGGTAGGGGAGAGTTGGGAATATTATGCAACTCTACTTCTCAGTCCCCCTCTTCCCACAGGGACCATAAAAACTGCAGAAATAGGCTGCCGGGGGCTTGGCCGAGTGCCAAACTGGCTGTTTTGGGGCTGCATCTGATTCTCAGATGTGTTTTGTTTGGCCAGCACAGTATTTAGAAGGAAACTTGAACCCATGTTTCATTTGAAAATTTTGATTAAAAAATTGAAAGATCTAGGCTAGATGTGGTGGCTCACGCCTGTGATCCCAGCACTTTGGGAAGCTGAGGCAGGAGGATTGCTTGAGTCCAGGAATTTGAGACTAGCCTGGGCAACATAGTGAGACGTTCTCTCTTCAGAAAACCAAAAAGTATCTGGGCATGGTGGCACACGTCTGTAGTTCTAGCTACCTGGGATGCTGAGGTGGAGGTCAAGGCTGCGGTGAGCTGTGATCGTGTCACTGTACTCTGGTCTGGATGACAGAGTGAGACCCTGGCTCAAAAAAACAAAAACAAAAACGGGAAGATCTGGTCATACACTGCCCTGTTCAGCATGGCAACTGCTGAACGGAACGGACAGGGTCACTCTGCTTTCTCCTTCTCTCCAGTTTGTCACAGGACCCCACACCGCCTCCCTGTGACTCTTGATCCTGCTCACGCGATTGGTTTTGCTTTTGCTGCTACTAGCTGCCTTCATGTACTGCGACTGCCTGGCCCTGTAGCCATTTGCACTCAAGACTCCTGGATTAGCCGCATCATAGCTGCCCACTAAAAACTGTTGATTTCAAGAAACCGTGTGGTTGTGATTATATCCTCCTAAAAATCAAGGTCTTGTTAGTCAGAGTGCTATTGCAGAGCTTCCTGGCTTGTTTAGTATCTGTTTTCTTTTTCCTTTTTTTTTTGAGTCAGAGTCTCTGTCACCTAGGCTGGAGTGCAGTGGCACACTCACAGCTCACTGTAACCTCAACCTCCTGGGCTCAGGTAATCCTTTCACCTCTCAACCTCCCAAGTAGCTAGAACTACAAGCATGCACCACCATACCTGGCTAATTTTGGGGTTTTTTTTGTTGAGAGAAGTCGTCTCACTATGTTGCCCAGGCTGGTCTCAAACTCCTGGGCTCCAGCATTCCTCCCACTTTGGCCTTCCAAAGTGCCAGGATCACAGGTGTGAGCCACCACACCTGGCCTAATGTCTGTTTTTCTTGATAGAGGATTCTTGTCTTTTGGTGATCCTCTAGTCACCTTCCTCAGCTCCAGCTTGAAAGCATCTGTTGTGAGGTCTTTCGATGGCATAATCACCATTTAGAGCTGGTTAGTCGCTGAGCAGTTGCATGGGTCCCTGAGGCTGTGCGTGGAATGGATGAGGAGTTGTTGCCACGGGCAGGGGTTGCCCAGAGGGGCTTTGCCTGGAGGCCTGAGTGACCACCTCTCTCCTCTGTAAAAGGCGCTGGAGAAACTCTTTCCTTTTTTTTTTGAAAAACTACCTTTATTTGGATTGAGTATTTTTACATTTTACAGCCACCCCCAAGTTGGTGGCATCTGCCCTGTACCCAACAGTGACGCGCTGTCCTCGCAAGCACCCACGGACGTGCACCATCCAGGCCTCGAAAATAACAAGCCATTTTTAGGGCGTATTTGCATGTCCTCCCCTCGCTGTCAGACTGCGGTGTTGTGGGGGCGAGGAGACAGATGGCACCGCGGAGATGGAGCTGGCGTTAGAGGGACGCCAGCCCTGTGCTGGGAACCTGCTTCCCAGTGCTTCCTAGATCAGACCCCGGGCCAGGGGGAGACAGCTCTGGGCCATGGGGCGGGGGGACTCCTGCAGCTGAAGAACCCATGTTCCAAAGGTTTATTTGCATATGGCAAACTGCCTTGAGTGGATTTTCACACGGGCGTTTCAGGCTGTTAAAAACTTCTTGAATAATAATAAGGGACTAGCTCACGTTGGTTTAATATAGACTAGGCCCTGTGCTAAGTGCTTGACATGCATGATTTTGTTTATTGCTTCCTTCATCCTGGTGACCTGGTTATCCCCATAGTAAAGAAGAGCGAAGAAGAAGGTCCAGTGATGCAGAGTCACGTGCTAGGACACGGCAGCGTTGGGGTCTGGGGAGTAAGGGTCATTTGCTGCTGCAATTGCCTTGTTACATATCCTGAGCCAAGTCCCAGGCATGGCACTAGGCTCCCCTGGGAAGATCTTCATTTATCCTACACAAGAACCCCAGGACATCCTTATGATTCCTGCTGTTGTACCCACATTACAGATGAGGTCAACAAGGCTTAGAGACATCCAAGGTCACGAGCTGGGAAGTGGACCTAGGCAATCTGACGTCAGAGACAAAGCCTTTTCAACAATTCTTTTGGAGACAGGGTTTCACCGTGTCACCCAGGCTGGAGTACAGTGGAGCGATCACAGCTCACTGCAACCTCAAACTCCTGAGCTCAAGTGATCCTCCAGCCTCAGCCTCTTCAATAGCTGGGACTACAGGCATGAACCACCATGCCTGGCTAATTTTGTATTATTATTTTAATAGAGACTGGATGTTGCTCTGTTGCCCAGGCTGGTCTCAAACTCCTAGGCTCAAGCGGTTCTCCCATATTGGCCTCCCAAAGTGCTGGGGTTACAGGGGCAAACCAATTCACCTGCCTGGAGCTAAAGGTTTAACATATGCTGTGTTGCCTCCCATGCCCCTGTGCCCCTTCCAGCTTCTAACTGGAGTCCATCAGGCTGGAGAGGCCAGATGGACCTGGCTCCAGAATGTTCAACCGTTTTGGTGACATGGCCAGATGAGCCCCTTGCCCCTCAGTTCTGCAGCCACATGGTCTCCCGGACCCTGGAGAGAGAGCAGACCAAGCCCTGAGCAAGCAGCACTGACAGCTGGCTCTTGGGCTATTCACTTGCCGAGGCTGGTGGTCTCCCGAGCCTTGTCCAAACACACAAAGCCGTTCAACAAAAGAAAATTGGAGGAATTACATTAAACACGTTTTATGAAGTATAAGGTGCTTTGTGCAGATGCTGTGATGATGTGGTTGACACATGACTGAAACTGTTGGTGCCAACTGCTTGCCTGTGGTCCATTTGTTCTGCCATATTTATTAAGCACCTACTATGTGCCAAGCACTGTGCCTTGCACTGGGAACTAAACTATGAACTGAGCAAAGTCCCACATCTCTTGGAGCTGTATATTGTAGTGATGGCCTCTAAAAAATAAGCAAATTAATATGCGGTATAAAAGGTCAGGTAGTAGCCGGGCTCGGTGGCTCAGCCTGTAATCCCGCGCCTTTGGGAGGCTGAGGTGAGTAGATTGCCGGAGCCCGCGGGTTCGAGACCTGCCTGGGCAGGCGAGACCTCATCTCTACAATAAATCAAAAAATTAGCCGGGCGTGGTAGCGCGCACCTGTAATTCCAGCTACTCGGAAGGCTGAGACGAAAGGATCGCCGGAGAACAGCAGTTCAAGGCTGCGGTGGCCGGGAGCGGCCACTACACTCCAGTCTGGGCGACAGAGTAAGACTCTGACTCAAAATAAATAAATAAATAAATAAATAATAAATACATTTTTTTAAAAAGTCAGGTAGTGGTCAGTACCATGAAGAAACGTTAAGCCTACTGAGGGCGTGCTCAGTGACAAGACTGCTCCTTTTGTTGTTGGCCAAGGACTCGGCCCGGCGTTTCCTGGGTTATGGGATTTTTAGAGTCGTTGCAATTCTTTCCTTTCCAGTATTCCCTTTCAAGACAGCTTTGCTCTCTGGCT